AATAAAAAATTTTTAAAAATCACCACAGGGGTTGATACCATCTGTTTGTTATAATTGCACATTTAAATATCTTCCAGCAAGAGAAGGACACTTGGTAAACAGGAATCAGAGCAGAGCTGGGGGAGCACAGCCTGTTCTCCACCTTCCCACCTCTCCCTAGAAATGTGCCTGGCTTGGTGTGAGCATGATGCACAGTGCATGGGCTGTAGTTACTGCACGCATCAGCAATGGAGCAGCAGCACTACTGTGCCCTGCAGCTCCACGGCTCCTGAACCTCTCCTGGAGCTGATGGAGTGGATCCAGAGGAAGGCATGAAGATTCTTCGAGGCTGCAGCACCTCTGCTGTGGAGAGAATGCCCCAGGGAGACTTCACTGTGGGCTTTTGGTATTCAGAAGGAGATTAGAAACAAGTTGGAGAGTGACTTCTTTTGATCTGATAGTGATAGGACACGGGGGGATGGTTTTAAAAGAGTAGAGATCTAGGTCAGATGTTGAAGGGAAATTCTTCACTCAGAGGGCAGCAAAGCACTGGCTGTGCTGCCCAGGGAAGTGTGGGTGTCCCATCCCAGGAGCTGCCCAATGCCACAGGTGGGCCCTGGGCAGCCTGAGCTGGTGGGGGGCAACCGTCATACAAGAGAGTGTTGGAAGTGGATGGGCTCTAAGATCCCTTCCAACCCAACCATTCTGTGACTCATTCTATGATTGCCAGGGATGCAAGTGCTCTGTGTGTAAGTAAGATCTTGGGTAGGAACCTCAAATCACCCAGCAACGAGCGTGCATGCTTTCTGTTTCCCTTCTTAGGGATCTTTGACCATGTTGCCATGAGTTGTGCTGCGGATAGACTCCAACATTCCTTAGAACAAGCAGGAATCAGCCCAGCTCTGCTTTGCTGCAGCAAGGAGGGCAGGACACAGAGCTTAAGGATGTTTCACGATGAAAACGAAGACTCTTATAAATGGGTACCGTTAGCCAAAGCAAGCACTGGTTGGAATTACAGATGATCTGCTGACCCTCGGGTACTGCAGAAGGCAGTGGTTGCTCAGCAGAACTTCAGCCCTAATGTTGGCTGGACAGATCTCACAGCCACCACCTGCGTCCTGCAGAAACACTATGGAACATTGGTAGGACAGCCAGCCCTCCTTGTTGTGAATAACTGTTTTCCTGGTCATCAGCTTCCAAGCAGGAGTGCCATTGGAATTTATTTGCACAGAGCTCTGGGAGTCACTGTGTACCCCCTCAGGCAGGGTAGCGTTACAGTGCCTTCTGGTCCATGGCTGGGAGAGCTGCAGCTAAAAATGTGTTGGGTTCGTGGTTCCACCCACAGACCAGAAATCACCAAACCTGTATTATTTTTGAATCCCCTGCTTTTGAGGGCTGGTGGAAATAAGATATCTTGCTTCTGACTTCCAAGCAATAAAGAGGTGAATCACAACTGAGCAAAGTCTCTGCTGGACCACCCAGTTGCTCCATGCAAAGCTGTAAAGTGATCCTCAGCAGAAGTGGCAAAGTGGAGACTGATTTTCTTGATATTACTGTGATCGTGCAAGGCAAATCAAATGGGAAAAAAAAGCATCGGGGCTCGCTAACAAAGTGGCTAACTGAGAAGTGTGCTAATGAATGCAGGCTGATTAACATGCACTGAACTGAAAGCTAAACTGCGTTCGGGTCACAGGGGGAACGCAGAGCTTATTTACTCTTCTGAGTACAACATGTTATGTTCAAGACCCAACATGTGTGGGTAATTCAGATTTAAATGCTTTCTTCTTCCTCGTAGTCCTGAACAGTTATCCAACTCAGGATAAATAAGTTAATTTATTTTTGTTTTTACTAAATAATGGTAGAACTTTTGTTACTGCAATTGGTCAGATCTCTTTTTTTTTTTTTATTTAGGATTATGTGGATCAGCAGCTGCAAGTTCTTGTCAGGGCTTTGAAAAACTGTAACTTGCAAATCACTTTTTTTCTTTATTTTTAAGTGCCAATCTCAAAGGGACATAAATGATATGGTTTTTGACATTTATTTGTTGTCATTTTTATTAGTTTTTGTACATGTTTTTAATACAACGCAAGCTGAAAGTCTTCAGGCCAGAACTGTGCATGTTAGTGATGTTTGGATTGTAGAATTGTATGTTGGGTGACCACCTCTTATTTTCAAGTGTAGGGCCCCAACAGGACACCAAGTACACAAAAATGAGCTGCTTTCAGGGGAGGAATGGTCACTCTGGGCAAGTGCACTCAAGGATAAACCATAGGAAACCATAGGGGATTAGCATTCGGGCGTGTAGGTATTTTGGGGTGACTTGTAATTAAGACATTGGATTTGTAATTGGGAGATTTGGGTCCTATTTTGGGCTCTGTTGCAAGAGTCCTTATGTGATCTTGAGTGAGTTTCTGTAAGGTGACGTCCCCAGAGAGACTTGTTGAAATTAGGTGCTAAAATTCTTCCCTTTGCTGCCTGTTACACAGCTGTAGTAAATTCTAATTTTGATTTGTCCTGTACTTTTAGATTTAAATTTCTTCAGAATAGTGGACTGTGTCTTACCATGGGGTCTAGCAAATCCAAGCTATGTTGGTCCATGTTGCAGTAGAGCCTCCTCATGTTATGTGAGTATAACAAAATCCTGATAACAAGCCCAGGGTAATTCTTAAAGCCTTTGGAGCTCCCACGGAGCCCTCGCTCCCCGTGAGTCCCAGTAGAACTCTGTTCAGAAGGAGATGCCTTGCTCAGAGCCAAGGGCAGTTGGAAGGAATGTGCATAAAACACGTTGCAGCCTTCATGGTCCCAGGGTTCAGCTAAGGACCCACTGCTTGGGTTGTAGCTTTTTGGTGTTCGTTGTGGGGCTTTGTGTATGTTATGAAGGCAGACTCAAAGGAGTGCTTTGCAGGGGAAATGGGAAGTTTCTGGTGGTCTCCAGCTCCAGCAGTCATCTGGTATTTCTCTTGAGTCTCCAGCTACTTACAGTTCATGGAATCATAGAATTGTTTGAGTTGGAACGGACCTTTAAAGGTCATCTAGTCCAGCTCCCAGTTGGGTCCAGTTTTCTTTGGGTCAGATCATTGGGTCACCTCACTCAGTCTCCTCTGCAGGGTATCCATGTGTCCACAGTGCTCAGAACTCCCCAAAGCTCCATCACTTCTTCGCTGATGGGAGATTGAGGGCAGGCAGTGCTGACCCCAGTTTAGCAGCAGTGTGGTCCCCACTGCTGGGGTGTCGTTGTTCCTGCTGTCTTGAAAAGTCTTCTTTGACTACATGCACTAAAAATCATGAGTGAACAGTTCATGGGAGGATAAAGCTCAGCTGTGAAATGGAGAAGTGTTCTTTAAATAGAATAATCATGGTACCAATCAGAGTTACAGTTTTCCGCCCAGCTGGAAGGTGGGAAGTTCTCATTTGTTGCTCTGAAGTCTGCAAACTAAATGGCTTTATTACATCAGAGCATTATTTTTCAATATGTAATGCATGAAGTCAGCTTTGTGTCTTCATTTTTTTTGTGGGTAAGATGATGGGACTTTCTTCTTATTTTTTCCTTTTTGTTTTCATATGTCTGAAGAGCAGCTAGTTAATTAGCAGAGCTGGGGCTAAATCCTAAGTAATGTGACTAATGGGACAGGAATCCAAATCGTTCTTAAAACTGAAATAGTCCTGAGCAGTCATCAGCTGCTTTTCTTGTCTCTGTGTGTGGGTTCCCATGCTCTGCCATATGCCAGCACCCTGCATTACTTGCAGCACGTTTCTACTCGATGGCAAGGCAGTCAGCCCTGGCAAGGCAGAGGGTTGGGCTGGTGGCTGTTGTGCTGGCAAGGAGCTTTGGGTCAGTCACATCTCAGCATCTTCATAGGGTTGGTTGCTGCCTTTAGGAACTCAGTGGGGCAAGTAGAATGGAATGGGGCTTCGTGACATGTGGGGCAGCATACCCACTGATAAGGAGCAAAAATCTCTGCACTGTGCTTGGGGGAATTGCTTGTGCATACAGAGACTTGTGTGCATGGTTTGCTTGCAATAGGAACCGAATTCTGCAGAGGAGAACCAGCAATTGTTCTGTGTGCTTGGTTTATGGGGCTGCAATGAAAGGCTGTGGGGGGGTTGGGGTGTACCTTGAGCAGAGGTGGGGCTGCATCTTCACTGCAGCTCATGGATGGAAATGGCAAGGAAGTGACATCATGCAGCTGAGGGAAGGCTGCAAAATGAAGCCATATGCTGTGAAGATGTGATTCATGGCCAAGGCCAAATGGGCTGTGCCCAAACATTGCTGCTGTGCACTCATTAGGACTTGCTGGAGAACTGGGGCGCAAGAAGGTTCCTTCTGTTTTTCAAGTCATTGTAATAGCAAGAAAAAGTAATGTGTACCTACAAAAAGTCTTTTTTCCAATGTACGCAAATATTTACAGAGACTCCTCCAAAGGCTCACAGATTTTTCCACTTTCTATTCCTTACACATGAAGAAAGTTCTCATAAATGGGCAATAAAAGCTAAAATTAAAAACGCCTCTTAAAAAAAAAAAAAAAGCATGTTTCTATATTTAAAGCTGCTCTTCAATTAGAAGGTCCAATATTTCCTCTCGAAGGGTTTCAGAAATGTTGATTTCGTGGATACACGGACATCATGGGGATGATGAATGAGCCCTTGTTGCTGTGTGGGGTTGGGAGCAGGAGGAGTTCTGCTTTCTCCTTAGTGCTGGGGCATGGCATGATGAGACCTGTTTGGGTCACCTGTCCCAAAGCTGTGTGATGAGCAGGGATCTTGTGTTGCTTTCCCATTGCAGTATGCTTGCACTTGAGTTCCCCTGGTAGAGGAGCCCCAGCTCAGCCAAGGGCAGAGCTTTGCGTGCTGCTGTGTGTTTAGGGCTGCTCAGACCAGGCTGGGCTGAGGACCAGAGCTAATGCAAATGTTTCCAAAGCTGTTTTTAAGGGAGTTGCATTCAACAAATCCTCAAAGAGGTGGGAGCTGTGGAGTGTCCTCCGAACTCTTCAGCACCGTCTGCTTCCTTCTTTCCACTTTAGGTGCTGCTGATCATCAGTGGGAACCTGAGCTTCCTCAACTGGCTGACCATTGTGCCCAGCATCGCCTGCTTCGATGACCGCAGCCTGGCCTTCCTGTTCAGGCGTGGGGGGGTGAAGGAGCGTGTGCTGCAGCTGCAGGGCAGCAGTGAGCAGCCCCCCGCAGGGCTAGGTGAGTTCTTCTGGGTGGGAGGAGAGCAGCAAAGAGGTGTGTTTATCTCAAAAGCTTTCTATCCTCTCTTCCTGGAACAAACGTGAGTGGACAAGGAGAAAATTCTGCCTCCTAAGTGGTTCCCTCTGGGATGTGAATATTATCTGAACGTTGCACTCCTGACGGATATGTGTGAAGCCAGCAGCTGGTTTGTAAATCTCTGCCATGTCGGTGCCACTAGAGGGCATGTCCCAGTGCAGGTACAGTGCTGCCTGCATAGGGAGCGCAGCTGGGTTCCTGGCTTCGTGCTCACCAGCCAGCATCAGACTCCAGTTTGAAATAAGCAATGTAGAATTGCACCATTTCACTTGTGATCTATTTTATTTTATTTTGACTATTTAAAGTCAAAGATGAAACACCCAGTGCAGTTTTGAGGCAAGGAGCCCATGGGCATCAGAGCATAAGTAACTGAGGATGGGACTGGACTTCCAGGAAGAGCAGAACTGATTATTGATTTACTGTGGGGCCAGCAGCTCTTCCACAGGCTGAAAAGAGAGCTCAACATCCTGCTTGGAAAAGGAGAGTGGAGCAGCTGCTCCTGGCTATGCTTATGGGGAGGGAATTGCCCCAAAGCATCCCAGATTCCCCAGAAGTAGGTTGAAGGCAAACTCCTGTTCATAGCAGGAAAGCAAGAAAGCAAATACAAGAGGGTTTGTAGCTTACCAACAGGGATTCATGTTGCTGTGATGCTTCCCTCTGGAGGGAGTTTTCAAACAGCCTGGCTCCAGGAGATGCACAAGCAGCACTGGGGTATTTTTCATGGGGCTGTGTAACAGATGTACAGTTATATTTGTAGTGTTTTTGTAAACCGCTTACTAGCGACAAATTGCCTGTAATATCAACAACAATCACAGATGCTCATTTTTAAATATACTGAACATCTGTCAGAGGAGTGAAAAATGTCAACAAGACAAAGCATCTGTCTCTAGTCCTTTCTCCTGTACCAAGAAATGCAGCTTATTGGCCAGAGGCAAGGCTTCCTGCAAGGCTGATGTAGCTTCATTAAGTGCTCTGTGTCCTATATTACATATTTTGTTGGGATTGGATTGTAGATGTGTCCCTGTGCTGGAATATAAAACAAACAAAAAAAAAAGTTGGGGGGGGGGATTTTTAAAGTAATATGGATAAATATTCAGTGTGAATTTGGTTTTCTGCATGTTTTTCTGCTAACAAAGCAGAGGCTGTTGAACTGGCACTGATGGGCTGTGTGGCAAGAGGCTTAGAGGAGCTCTCACCCCTGGGTCACAAGAGCAGAAGACAGGAGGGTGTCCCACTTGTGACCTGGTTTAACAGGATCTGACTACATCCTCATGTGCGTATTTCCCACTGGGAGCTCCAATTCCCACCACTAGTGCTTGGCTCCTATCTGCTCTTCCAGACCCCGTTGGCTCATGGCCTTTCCCAAGTCTTGCTCCATCCTCACTGTATTCTCCTGTAGTAAGCTCTTTTCCTTCTTTGATGACGTTGCTGTCACCCCATAGGCATGGTGACAATTGCAGCATCAGGACCAGGAGAAGGGCAGGATTCTGTGAGCCCTTTAGCTGCAGGAGGTGGAGGACAAGGAGTGCGTAGGGCCAGAAACTGGCTCGTGGAGCTGGGTCACAGTTAAGGGATCGTGTGGTGCTCTGGTGCTGAGCCTGATCCTTGCATGCAGCTACAGAGTTCACTAAGGAGACAAAATACTGCCCAGCACCCCACAGTGGTGCAGAGTAACAGGGGGGGCATCTTGGCAAGCTCCTTTCCAAATCCAATGCTGCTCCAGAAATGTTCTCAGACTAAACAATTATTAATAGCTTCTGAGAGGGGTTCAAATAAACATCCCTCTCCTGCAGAGATAAGGGGAAAGCTGCATGCTATTGCTTTGAATCTGATCTGTTGGCTGTTAATGTTAAACAAATTAAAAACTGCCATAAACATAGGAGCCCTTCAGAGGTCACCGCTGCTTATTTGTCTGATTGCAGCAGGTTTCTCCCTAACTCCAAATGCCACGTGAATGCAGCACAGCCAACGGAGCACAGTTCCTGCATTAATGATAAGGGGTAGGGAACTGCATAGGGAGGATAGGGGTCTGGATGAGGACAGAGATGGAAAGGCAGAAACGAGCCTGGGTGGTGGGAGCCAGATACAGCCCAGGAGGTGATGCTGAGCAAGGTGCAGATGCCAGCGGTGTTCTTTCCCCACTTCCAAGACGATGATTAATCTCACATTTTAGACATTTTTCTTTTTAGCCCTTTCTCAGACTATTTAGAGAAAGGCAGATCTGCTCAGCGATAGCAGCTGGCAGCAGCACCGGCTGTTTGCTCCTGGCTGCAGAGCTGGCTGTGGGCAGCACTCATCCCTCTGCTCTGCTCTCATGTCTCCCCAGGACGCCACATCCGCAGGGTGGTGAACATCTCCTTTGGGCTCCTGATCGCCTACCTCAGCGTGCCTGTCGTCATCAACCTGCTCAGCTCCAGACAGGTTATGAATACATCCTTCAACCCCCTCAGGATAGTCAACACCTACGGAGCTTTTGGAAGGTATTGCATTTTAATGGCACACTGCAGAATCACAGAACCATAGGGTTCTGGATGATCTGTCCCTAAGGCAAGTTCCCTGGAGTACATTGCAATGGGATGCATCCAGGTGGGTTTTGAATTCCTCTGGAGAAGGAAACTCCTTCCTGGGTAGCTTGTTCCAGGGCTCTGCCACCCTCTTAGAGCTTCCTGCGTTCCAGTTTGTGATGCTTGTCCTATAGCTGGGCACCACTAAAAAGAGCCTGACCCCATCCACTTGACTCCCACCCTTTAGGTATTTAATAGAATCATTATGAAATGATTGGAAAAGATCTTTAAGATCAAGTTCAATCATCAACACATCTGCACCGTGCCCAATTGTGTCCTTGCTTATAAGGCCATTCCTCAAGTATTGATGAGATCCCTCTCTTCCCCAGGTTGAACAGCCCTGGGGCTCTCAGCCTTTCCCCTTCAGGAGGTGCTGCAGGCTCCCACCATCTCTGTAGACATCTTGGTTCTCTCCAGTAGTTCCCTGTCTGTTTTGGATTGGGGAGCCCAGCACTGGGTGCAGTGCTCTGGATATGGCATCCCCAGGGCAAAGCAGAGGGGAGGAGAACCTCCCTCACTTGCTGACCTCACTGTGCAACGCCCCCCAGGGTCCCATTGGCCTTCTTGCCCAGCAGGGCATGCTTCTGGCTCGCAGTCACCTCTTGGCCACCAGGACTCCCAGGTCCTTCTCTGCAGAGCTCCTTTCCAGCAGGGTTGTATAGCTCTCCACTGTCAGCAGCAAGAAGTGTGGTCCAGTAGCCTTAATTCCAAACAGAAATCTTTCCAGTAGCCATAGACTTGGAATATCTGTTTATGAGAGAGAAAGAGAAGAAGGAGCAGGTTTCTTTCCCACTGAATTATAATTTGTTTTCTTTGAGCTACTTTTAGTGAGCTCATTATACTGATGGAGCAGATGTAATAGTGGGATGAAAATATCCATAAGAGAGTTCATCCAGTGGATATTCCTCACCATCACCAGCCCACTTTATTTATGGTGAACTTCTCTTCCCGTGCGCATGTTCGCTGTCCCTCATGTAAATATTCACATAAGCTGTTGGGTAGCAGATTTAAGGCCAACAAAAGGAAGTGTTTTTTCCAACGAGTGACTTGGGGAATTCATTGCTACAGGAAACTGCAGAGACGAAAGTATAAATGGGCTCAAAAAAAAAAAAAAGAGCAAGACAGATGGAGAGGACAGGCCCAGCAGTCTGGCTGCTGCTGTCAGCTCAGGAAATCCCACTGAGGGCTGTGAGATGGGGCTGGACAGGGGAAGCACCTCCACCTACATTAGGAACCTGAGTCTGGGTTTTGGGGCAACCTGCAGTCCGTGGTAAGTGCTGTGCCGCTGCCTCTCCTTGATCAAAACACCTGTGAAAATGCTGAGAAACAACTCTGCTTATGGAGAACTAGCCAACAGAGTTAGGCAACCTTGTCCTGAAAGCTTGCAGCTGGGGAACACAAGGCAAAGAGCATCAAGGTGGAATGAGCAGAGTGGCTTATGTGCCACCACAGAGGTGACAACAGGGCCAGTTCTCTCTGCACACATCTTGGGTTTGGCTGTGCTGCTGCCTCCCTTCCCCAGGGGCTGCTCTGGGTTGGTGGGCTGTGAGCAGATCTTGTAGGAGGAGCAGCAGTAATTGGGTTTTTATGAGAGCATCAGGTTGGGAGGAGCAGGGCTCCCTGTGAGCTCTGGAGGTGCAGAGCACACCTGCAGGACATCACATGGATAGGCTGTTTCCTCCAATGTTTTGAACTGCAGACATTATAGGAAAAATAACAAACTTAGGGAAAAAAAAGGCAAGCATAATTAAAAATACCAGTGCTAAAAGGTTATGGAAAACACTGAAGTTTCTCCATTTTTTTCAGAGAGAGAGAAACAACCCCTGAGCCTCTTCGAAGGCTGGAGCAGTGAAGCTACGGGAGATTGTTTTCTTTGGGTTGTTGTTCTTTTTCTTCTTCAGTCTATGGTTTCTGCTTCAGCAGTTACCAGAACCTAAAGAGCATGTGATGAAATGCTGCTGTAATATGTTTGTAATTCCAGCCTATGTAAACCAATAAAAAGAGGATTGCAGCTTATAATGAATATACGATTATGTGAAACTTGACATATTTTGAATCACACAGTAGGAACATACTTTTATTAGTAATTTGGTGTCTCTGATTTACAGTGTGTTTCTAACCATTGGGCAGCTGGCCATGGCTCATAACTCAGCCCAGTGTATAATATGGAACTTGGCTGGAGAATCCAGAAATCTATTAAACGGAGGTAACAATTATAAGCTGAGATGCGCAGCATTCTGTGGGCTGTAGGCATCTATCACTGGAAGACATCAAGGTGGTGTCTGTGTGTTTCCAGAGTTTCGGTTTTAGGGCTGTAGGAGGAAGGACCAAAAGAGTGAAAAATGAAAGGGTGTCAGGAGCTGCATGGTTTGGATAAGGGAAAGTTATACGTTTGTGAGGGAAATCAGCTCTTCTGTGTAGATGGAGCATCACTGCCAGGTTATTGGAAACTCGACAGTTATGTTTTCATGTGGGCTTAGCATGGCCTGGACAGTTTGCCATCTGCACTGCCCTACACCTTGCTGTGCAGAGAAAGTTAAACCCAGCAACAGAGGGAATGTAGGTGACCTGCCATAAGGTTGGGTGCTTTTTAATACAGATTCAAAATGTCTACTGTGTTTCAGGGGCATTTTTTTTTTTCCTTTTTGCTTTCCTTGGCTTGATTTGCAGCAGTTCATACAGTACCTCATTCTCTTGCTGAGGAATAGCTCTGTGAAACCTCTCTTGTGACCAGGAAGAAGTATAGGGACTGGTGGTGGTGCTGCCCCAAGAGCCAGCTGCTGGGCACACTGCAGAAGTGAAGGCTCTGGGGAGACCTGCTAGCAGCCTTCCAGTATCTGAAGGGGGCTGTAAGAAAGAAGGGGACAGACTCTTTAGCAGGGTCTGTTGTGACAGGACAAGGGAAAATGGTTTAAAACTAAATGAGGAGAGATTTAGACTGGATATAAGGAAGAAGCTCTCTGCTATGGGCAGTTGAGGAGTGGCACAGGGTGCCCAGAGAAGTGGAGGTGCCCCATCCCTGCACACAGCCGCAGTCAGGCTGGATGGGGCTCTGAGCACTGATGGAGCTGTGGCTGTCCCTGCTCAGTGCAGGGAGTGGGACCACATGGCCTTTAGAGGTCCCTTCCAACTCAAACCATTCTATGATTCTATGCCAAAGAGAGAAGTTGGCCCACAGAGAGAGTGAAAGTCATAGAATCACAGGATCATTCGGATTGGAAAAAGCCTGTAAGATCACCAAGTTCAATCACCATCATGCCCACTAAACAATGTCCCTAATTGCTACATCTACCCTTGACTTGAGACAGATAACAGACCTGGTGTTGTGTTCTGCAGCATCACCAAGGAGAGAACTGAAGTCATCCTTCAGGGAACGTCCAGCCCAGACCCCAACGACCCCGCTGCTGTCTGGCAGGAGTTTGATTTCAAGTGCAAGCCTGGGGACCTGTGGCGACGGCCATGCTTCATCTCACCCTACCATTACCGCCTGGACTGGCTGATGTGGTTTGCAGCCTTCCAGGTACGTTGCATCCCCTGGACCAGGGAAAGCAATCCATGTGAATTTACAATGTGCGTGGGGCAGGGGGGTGGATATTTGAAGCCTCAGCTAAGTTAATTATGTTTTAAAAAAAAAAAATTGTATTCCTAAAGGATGTCTGCTGCTGTGAGGCTTTTTAATTGTTTCTCAGCAATAACAAGAGTTAAAGAGATGGAGGTAGTGCCTGTCCCTGACGTGGTGGCACAGTGGGCAGCCATTGCTCTCTGTTCTGCATAGGGACATGGCATCCTCACCTGGCACCCACAGACAGGTTGCTCTCTATTAAGGAAGAAAAGAGGGGGATTATTGTAAATTAATTCGTTAACATCCAATAGCCTTTTCTGCAAAATGGCATGACCAGGAGGATGTAACACCAGTAGAGTGGTGTTACAAAATTGGGGCTCACAGCAGTGCTGTGGGCAGCCCCATCTTTCCTTTTGTTTTCATGTCGCTTCCTGGCGTTCTTCCTCTTGCTCTCCCCCTGCCCCAAACTTCGCTGTTTTTTCTTTGTGGTATTTTCATTTAGATGCCTTTTAGATTCTTCAGTGATGACATAACCATCGCTCTTTGGCTATGGTTTTATATTTACCCCGCTAGTTTTTTTGTGTGCTGGAATTTCATTTAATCTGCATTAGGTATGCTTATCCCTCAGCAAGACGACAGCAAAGGTTAAAGCTCTGGCCAGCAGCGTTGCTCAGCACTAAATGACGGTGCAGAAGTTGGAGCTGCTGGTTTAAAGCTTCCTGCTTTTCAGGAGGGCTCCAGCATGGAATCACAGCGTGGTTGGGTTGGAAGGGACCTCACAGCCCTCCCAGCCCCACCCTGTGCCATGGGCTTAGATGCCCACCACCAGATCAGAATGCCCAGGGCCTGAGGAGACCAAATAGGCACAAGGCACTGATACTGCAGCATCATGGCAAGTGCTGCTGTGCTGGTGCTGAGAGACATTGCCACACACCAGCCCTGTCTGTCGGCAGGCAGCGGCTGTGCGCTGAGTGACAGTGATGTATGGGGCAGCCTGGGGACGAGCAGGAAGAGGAAATAACACAGCCTCATTTGCATCTTTATGATTATTTTTGTAATGCACCGGGAGGTTCCCTGAAGTGCACCTATCAGCCCGGGGGCTGTTGGGGTGTGCACATGCAAAAGCGTCTGTCCGCACCGGCTGATTAGCTGTAATTAGTGCTCGTGCACAGGAGATGTGCTGTCTCCTCCTGCTATGAGGTTGCCATGAGACCACAGATCCTTTCCATAGCAAGATGTGGGTGTTCTCATGGCCTCCCACTGCAGCTTGGTAAAGAATTTCCCCCTAATATCTAATCTAAATGTCCCCTCTTTTAGTTTAAAGCCACGCCCCCTTGTCCTGTCACTATCTGCCCATGTAAAAAGTCGTTCTCCTCCTGTTTATAAGCTCCCTTCAGGTACTAGAAGGCTGCATGAGGTCTCCCTGGAGTCTCCAGGCTGAACACCCCTGGCTCCCCACCTGTTTCAAAAGGAGAGGTGCCACAGCCTCTGAGTGTCCTCATGCCCTCCTCTGGACCACTTCCATCAGCTCCACAATTCTCTGTGCCAGGGGCCCCAGGACTGGAAAAGGGCAGAGCAGACTGGGGGGACAGTTCTCTCCCTGCCCCATTGCCACCCCTTGCTGATGCAGCCCAGGACTCTGTTGGCTGCCCCTTTTCTCACTGCTCAGATCGAGTCTGGTAAGGTTGTGGGATGGATGAGGAACCAGAAGCCGAAAGCCCAGCAGAAGTTTGTGCAGTCGGGTGAATTCCACAAAGCCCATACAGTAGTTTATGGAGTCCATAAAACCAAGTTCCTTCAGCCTCTGGATTAGGCTTAATTTGTTTTTAGAAGTTCTGGATTTTTTCACCCCGCTGTTTGCCGCCGTCGCGGGGTGGTGCTGGAGGCAGCCACTTAAGGACCTGCCATATCCCGCTCTGACAGGCTGCAGAAAAGTCCAGGGAGTTTGGGGGAAGATATTTACCATCCCTTTGTGCTGCTCCTGACAGGTTCCTCTTTGCACCTCATCACCGCTTGACATACGACGCCGTCCTCCTGCACAGCTCCCACCTTGGCTGTAACTGCAGGATGTGCTGTGAGCCCACTATGGGGGAGCCAGGGAGAGCCAACACTGCCCCGCTCTGAGCTGCTGTTAGCAGTTGGCTGCTAATTACCAGAGTGCCTTGATTACAAGTACTGTAACATGGCATTATTTTCCAGGTAGCAATGTTTGTGATGTTAATTTTATTACTTGAATACAGTATGCCATTTACAATTGAGGAAGAGGTCTAAAAGCCCCTAGTGGTGCTGCAGGTCTTGGTCTGAGCAGATAGAAGTGAAAAGCCCCCCTCCTGAGCCGAGCATCCTAATTTGGGAAGGATGCAGTCAGTTGGCATGGGTACAACAGAGGGACCTACAGAATCCTGGTTCCACAGTGACCATGAGAACAGCTCTGCGTGCTCTGGGAGCAAGAGGAAAGGCAGCAGAGCAGGTTTGGGATGTGGGAAAACCTACCGCAAAGTGGAAAGTAGCAATCTGTTTTCTGGGTCCCTGTGGAGAAGGGAGGAAATAATGGGCTAAATGGCAGAATATGATTTAATCTCGGGAAAATTCAGGTTAAGCAGTAGGAAAAAAAGTTTCCAACAGGAAGATAATGCAATGGCAGAATCTGCTCCTTGTTTCTTTAATGCAGAGATCTCGATTTTGCTGGAAAGAGACTGTTCAAGCATTGTCTGCCCTCCAGCTGATGGCAGCGCTCCTGTAATTATCTGACTTACCACTTATGGTGGGTGTTTGTAGGGGCCCTGTCACCACAACCCCAAATGGAGCTGTGCTGTGCTACTGGTACAGAAAGCTTTGTGGGCAGATCTGCAGCAGCCTGTGGTGGGTTCAGCATCGGTCAGAAGTAACAACCAGAAAACAAAATACTGCTCATAGTTCAGGGGCTTCGAGTTGGTCACTTTTCCTGGTAGCAGGATGCCTCAGGCTTGGCAGAAGCACCTTGTTTGTAAAACAAGACGTATTCTTCACCGTTGGGCAGCAGTGGAAAGCCTTCAGTGCTCTGAATAATGAAAAATCAAAGAAGGGTTTCTTCTCTCCTCCTTGCGGCATGAAGGGTATTTCTTCTGTTTAGATTGTGTAAGCTCTCCATAGTGGGTCTGCGTCTGGCCAGAGCAGAAACATGCTTGTGCTGCTCACCAGATCAGAACCAGTCAGAAAAAGACAACCCCAGCGCCATCTCAGCACTGTTTGTTAAAGCTCAGTGATCTGTTATACCTTGAAGTGACTCCAAAAGTATCCAGGTATCGGGACGGTCTGTGCAGAAGGGATGCAGCTAAAATTCAGATCACTTTGTTTCATGTGTTTGTGAAGAAGTGAATTGGGACTTGTGTTACCTCGTGTTAATTGAGTACAGGGCACGGGATGCCAATGTGCTGTTCAGATTGCACATCGCCGTGTCTTGAAAGCCCTCTGAACTGACATGTACTACCATTAAATGACAGCAATTGTGGGGCATCTAGGAGAAGGATGTGTTTGTCAGGTGTGATGGATAAGTTTATGGGTGCAACTCAGCTGACTCCCAAAGAGAGAATAGAAATGTGAGCAGTGGGACAGGCGAGCTGGGAGAGGAGGCTTCACCTTACTGCACACACTGGGAGAGCTGAGAAAAAGAAACCATATATGGAGAGAAGGGAGATGAATATCTTAATAAAATACTGTATTCCAACGTCTGTTACCTGGGTCGTCCAGCCAGGAGGTACAGGAAAACACTGTATGGCAGCAACATGCAGAAGGAGGTGTGTGCAGGGCAGTAAAACCTAAGCCTCATGCGCAGTGCACTAGGCACAGCCTTTTACATTTCCTTTCTTTCCCCTCCTAAAAACACAGACCTCGATTCACTTCCATTTTCCATTGCCACATTCAGGTGGTTTGGTCTGTGTGCAGAATGCAGGAATTATGTTTTCTTTGTTTAGCTGGGGTCAGTTGTCTTCCTCCAGGGACATTTCCCTGGAAGGGAAAGCATCTTAAGGGGTGGCTCTTGGTGGGGTTGGGGAAACTGCCCACTTAAATGATTCATTGAGAACAGTACTGCAAATGAATGGTTTGCCTCTTTGGGGAACTTCTAGGAAGAGGGGGCGAGGTGATGGGAAGTGATGGAACCTGGCCTTGGGAGGTGATGGGAAGGGGTAGAACATGGTGTAGCTTTCAGCCTTCCTTAGTTAATCCTCTTGGGTAGAAGGATGGCAGCAGGCGTTGAGATGGAGTTCTAAGAAAGCAAAGCCCTGTGTTGGTTATGCTGTTCCTTCTGTGGGATATGGTTCATTCCTCTAGCTGATAGCTCAGCTTCTCCAAATAGTGAGTGCTGAGGTCACTCCTAAACATCAGTGTAAGCAGAAATATGAGTGTTGGGTGAAAACATCCCCAGTGGTGGAGTCACTGCTTTGCATCCACACTATGAGTAGGCTGTGGTGCCAGAAATGCCCCTTACAACAGCATGGAAATGCAAACTCCCCCGCCATCCACCCAATGTGAGAACATGCAGAGCTCCCAACCATGCAAAATCATAATGCAGGGCTCCAGTGCCAAGTTTCCAGCTGTTTCCACATGTGCATCTCAGAGTTACCTCCTCCTGTGCGCCTGTGCCAGGACTGAGATTCAATAAAATGCCATGCTAATCCGCAGTCCTTTTCCATTAAATGACCAATTAAACCTGGAGGAAAAGGGTTCTTATTATTTCAGTTGGGAACGTGATCCCTGTAGTGCTGTGTGGGTTTTTTTTAATATATTTTTTGTGATTATTTTATTCTCTTGTACATTATCTCTGCAGAATTTCATTGCTGCTGCTGCTGCAGTAGTGGTGATTGGGCTTGAAATCCTATAGAGTTATTAAATACATCTGTATGCAAATGAATGCATTCAAGGTGAGAATTCTGTGTTTATACACTGGTAAAATGTGAAAATGGTGAAGCTGGAGGATAGAAAAGGTTACAGAGAAGTATGGATGTAGTATTGCTGCATGGTGCTGGGGAGGCTGCAGTGATACACGGATGGGGACAAGGAGCAAACCCAGTCCCAGTAATGTGTTCTGCCTAAAGCCTGGTTCAGGGAGCTGCTTTTCTCATGCCTTTTTGTTGGGTTGATGCTGGTGTTGTATTCTCATCCCAGTGTCAGCGTTCCTCTCCCAACAACAGCAGGAAGATCCCTGGGAGTGTGCTTTGCCCTTGGCTTTTCCTGAAATGGCCAGGGATGCTGTAGGATTTCCACTTACAAAGATTCAAAATCAAAAGATGGACCCACCATGCACACCTTAGTGTGCATTGCTCCTGGCTTTTTGTATTTAATGCTTTTGGTGGTTCAAGCTCTGACTCTTCCGTTTTTGCTCAGTGCCAGGTGAGTCCCTCCCATCCCAAATATCACAGGTAGGTATAGCAGCTCAGCACACAAAGTCTGCTCCCAGTGGAGCCACAGAGAGGAACTGTCACCTCCACGATGCTGCTCTGGATGGAGCCCAAATCACCTGGGCTCTTTCTTTCCCCCTTCACCATCGTATCACTTTACAGGGTAATGAGTAAAGCAGCACAGACGTGAGCACAGCCCCACTGCTCCCAGTGCTCCCAGCATCGCGCCGTATCCAGGCTGTGGTGCCGGGGGAGTGGGGATGGGGGGAGCCACGCCGGGTGGAAATTTCTCACCGCAGACCTTGCTGGGGCCAGACATGCTGTAAATTTTACAAGAAAAACACTTTACAAACCAGAAGTCCAACTCTCGTGCGCATGGAGCCGCTAATTAATGGTTTGGAAACCGGGCAAGCCAAGGAGCCCATTCCACCATCACCGAGCCCTGTGGGTTTGCAGCAGGCTCTGAAGAATTGAGGTCCTCTGTGCAGCTCTGGCTTCTCACCCACAGGTTCCTTGCACATCGGGCAGCACCACTAGGAAACTTTCTACAAAGCTCTAGTCTGAAATACCTGAGGCTTTCCTCTTAGCTTGTGATGAGCACAGGTCAGAAGCTCTGTGAGGTAGCACTGCTGCTTGATGGAGCTTCCCACCAGAATTTAGGGCTTTGCATCTCCTTTCTCTCCCGTTTCCCTTAGCAACGGAAATAACAAACTGCCATTGTAAAAGATTTGCAGAGTAACTTTACATTGATATTCTGCAGTAGTCACAGTCTTGCAGGTACAAATGCTGGGTTTAGCTTTCCCACAGTGTCCCCTACTGCTTGCATTAAAAAATCCAGTTAGGTGCACATTAAAAAAGGTAGAAAAAATGAGTATAAGGCACTGAAAGTCACCAGAAGGGGAAATGCTTTTTATGGAGCCTCACCAAAAATCCCTGCAGGGGGTGAGATGCTTTCATTCATGGAGGGAGGTAAATATGGAATTAAAATTGGCAGCTCAATGGGGGCTGCAGCATTCTAGGGCTGATTTATTTGGTTTCAGTGGTAGCAGGATAAAGGGCATGGCACAGATGTTGGAAGCCGTCAGGTAGCTGAGAACCCAGGAATAGAGAATTCACTTTCTTCTGTTATTTGTCTGATAACACAACAGGGAAAGCAACTTATTTTAAAGTGATGGATGAATTCTCAGTGGGTCTCAGCCTTGAGGTTTTGGAGCCTGCACGGTCTGATCATGCAGCACCAGCAAGTCTCTCATTTGCCATTGCATCAACTATACTCCCTGCCCAGTGATCACACAGATACGTTTAATTGTTTAATTAAAGCTAAGAGGTGCTTAACATCTGTATTTCATCCTCTTTCTTGTAGACTTATGAGCAGAATGAGTGGATCATCCACCTGGCTGGGAAGCTGCTGGCTCAGGAGGAGGAGGCCCTGTCCCTGATGGCAACAAACCCATTCGCAGACAGGGATCCCCCACGGTAAGTGCTTGAGGCAAGCTTCTTGGTAGAAAGCACCTGGGCTGTGCATTCAGCATAAGTATTCCAACTGGAAAGAAGGTTGTAGCAAGGTGGCTGTTGGTCTCCCAGTAACCAGCCACAGGATGAGAGATGATAGCCTCAAGTTGTACTGAGGCATTTCAGGTTGGATATCAAGAGAAATTTCTTCTCCGAAAGAGTGGTTGGGCACTGGAACAGGCTGCCCAAGGAGGTGGTTGAGTCACCATCCCAGTTGGTTGGTTGCTCTTTGTATTTGATGCCACGCAGGTGGTATTTAATAGGGTAATTTTAATAACTTGTCTCCCTAGAGATCTGGTGCTCAGTACCATGATGGGGACAAGGGACATGTGGCTGGCCCTTTCCCAGCGCCCAGCACTGCTTCTCTTGGACATGGATCCTACCTACCACGGTGGTTTCCTGCCCCACAGCCTCAGATTTTTTGCCATGATCTCTTTGCAAGGTCAGATCAAAAATACCATTTCCAGCAGCCTATTGGGATACTTCAAAGATGAAACAGTCCTGCAAAAAGAATTGTTTTTGTTGACACTTGTCTTGGAATTGTTTGCATTTTCAGTGACAAAGCAAACATCAGCAAGTGCAAAGCACAGATGAAAACCCCAAGGTTTTCTACAAAAGGAAATTTTTCACAAAAGTGTCTATTTTGTTGATGAAGTTATTTTTAGCTGAAAAAATATTTTAAGGGAATTTTGGATCAACATAAGTAATATTATGCTCTTGCTAATGTTTTCCATTTGAGGCTCTCATGATGCATTACAAACAGGGATTAAGGTTCCCAGCACCATGTGAAGTGAGCTTTTTGAAGCAGAGCTGTGCTTTTCAGCTTTAACGCAGTGTGTCCCCCAGATCTTCTATGGGGAGACTGCTTTCCTAGCTTAGATATTAAGAATTTCTTTCCACCTTTTACCAAAGTGCTTTCTTTTGGATATGGCATTCAGTATATGTTGAGATTGTGCGTGTGTGTGTGTGTGTATATATATATATATATATATATATATGTGTGTATGTATACAAAAAAGACCACAAGATACACAGCTTGGGACACCAGTGAGTGTCCCAATACTGTATTTGAGTATTTCTTATAACCACATTTCTGAGGATCCCCAAGCAGCCAGAATGGTCTCATGCAGCACTAGGGCCCCATCAGGGCATTGCTGCAGGCTGATGGTGACACTCTTCCTCCAAAGACAGGAGCTGAGACTGCTGTAAGATCAGTTATTTGGGATTTTGTATGGATTCCCTTTTCAGAGCCCATTTTCTCAGTGCAGCTCCTCCCTGTATGCCAGAATTCCCCTAAGTCTGGGGACGTAGTCCAGGTTTGCTGTAGGATTGTGCCATGGCTCCTTGGGCTGCACAGGCAGCAGGTTATGCACACAAATAATTACACCCTGGCTGCAGCCCAAGGAGATTTCTTGGGGAGCCTGTGTTAACTACTGTTCCAGAAGGCGTGCTGGGAGGCACCAGCACGTCCCTTAGCATGGATGGGTACAACTTTAATACTGTTTATGGAGGGATTTTAGCTCTGCTTGGCTGGGAGAGGGCTGCACTGGGAGCTGCAGGACTCCTTTGGAGAGCATTTGGAGGATCATGGTGGGGTACGAAGTGCTGGAGGAGCTGTTGGAGGCCGTATGGTGCTGGCCCTGTGTCAGAGCCCCCAGTTGGAGCTGGGTATCCCCCAGTGCCAGCAGCCAGATGTGGGTACCAGCTGGTGGCAGCTGGCAGTGAGCGGGGCTCGGCAGTGACAGAAGCTCTCCGTAATCCCAGAGCTGTTTATTGCCCTGTGCCAGCAGTGCTGCTCCCGTTCCTCACCACGGCTGGAACTACAAACATTGCAGCAGCTCAGAAATCAGATGTGCATCACGTCTTTCAGGGCTTTGCCACAAAGGGCTGCACCTCTTTTGTATGTTCTGGCATTGGTGGTGTTAAAAAACGTATAAAAAACTTATAAATTTTTAGTGTGTTCTGTGACAGGTGAGGAAATTGTATTTTCAGGAATTTAAAGTGAAAATATAGCAAATCTTTATCTTTGTTAGCATTTATAGGATAGTGACTGCCCAGTTTTCAAGGGGCACAGGCAGGTCAGTGATGGCAGAGCAGTGTGTTGCTGTGTACTGCACAGAGTGCTCTATATTTCTGCAAACAGGGCTTTGATTCATGCAGTACCTTGCTCTAACCAATGCTCAGACTCTGTTTTCACTCCTTAGCAGCTAGTTTATAGTAGGAAAAGATCAGGATCCAGTGCTGGTTTTATGTGTCAGCTGCCTTTGCTCTGGCATTACTTTTGCTTTAAAAGCTTTTCATGGGCCTAGTGTATTTTTGGGTGGCTTAAAATAAAAATAACAATTTACAAATGCTCCTTTTGGCCCAGCCTGGAGTCCAGTGCACCACTTAACCCTGTTTGCTGCTCACGTTTCTGGTTTGAGTGGGCCAACCCCAATACCTGCACTGGCATCCCTGCATTGTACCAGGCGTGAGAATGTGAGTTAGTCACTAGTTGTTATTTATGCATCTTCCATTATTTTTTGCTGCTAGCACTTCCTCTGGACATGGAAACTGATTATTTGCTCTTTTTTTTTTTTTTTCTTTTTTTTGTAGTTATTGTAGTTTTTGTAGTTTTTATGCCCCATCCCAATTCTGCTGAGTTTACACTTCTGGCATTCATGGCTGGCTCACTCCAGCAGCTCTGGCAGCCCCTTCTGCTCCCGCATTCGTTCTGCTCAGGCAGGCTCCCTCCCTGCCTTGCAGGGGCTTTCTTCCTGCATTTCAGAAATGCCATTTCCTCGCTGGATTTTAGGCTCACTGAAGCAGGGTCCCTCCTGTACCTCCATCCACCCAGAGAACCCTGGCCATAATGGGTAACTCTGTGATGTGAGAACAGTTGGAGAGCAGGACAGACTCTTTAGCAGGGTCTGTTATGATAGGACAAGGGGAAATGGTCTCAAAATAAAAGAGGGGAGATTTAGACTGGTTATAAGGAAGAAGTTCTTTATGCCACAGGTGGTGAGGAATGGCACAGGGTGCCCAGAGAGGTGGCGGTGCCCCATCCCTGCACACAGCCACAGTCAGGCTGGATGGGGCTCTGAGCACTGATGGAGCTGTGGCTGTCCCTGCTCAGAACAGGGAGTTGGACCAGACAGCATTCAGAGGTCCCTTCCAACTCAAACCATTCTGTGATTTTATAAGCAAGGCATCCAGTGTGTGATCCTTAACAACCTTTTTAGCCCAAGCCATTTGATTATTTTTTAATTTCAACTCCTTAGCAACACTGAGTTGAGCACTGGATGTGCAGATCCTCAGTGCATTTTTGATGGTGTAATTTCATTTGAGTTGCAAGCAACGACCTTAAATTTGAGCCATAATGGTAACACTTGAGAAGAAGAGAGAATTCCAGAGCTCTTGGACTGTGGAAGGGTCCAAAGCTGCCCTGGGTGGTGTGAGGCCATCACTGCAAACCTTAGTGCTGCTCATGCCCACCTCCAGCCATCACCACTCCACTCCCTTCAGTAGCTGCTGCTTTCCTCCCAGTCCCCCCTCCACTCTAAGGGGAATTTTGAGACTTAATTATTTTCATTCCCTGCTAGACTAAATAATTAGGGGAAGGGACTGTTTTCCATAAGAACATTACGCTCCATACTCCGCGGAGTTTATTCTGTTAATGGAAACTCTACACCTTAAATAGCCAAGGGACTTTCAAAATGAGTTAATGCCTTCGAAATGAAATTTCTGAGACCAAAGTTTGTAGGTTTCTTTACAACTCTAGAAATTATAGTATTTTTTCAAGTGTGATAAACTTAAAATGAGAAACAGGTGACTGATTAAAAATGAGGGCATTGTTGAGCGCCCGGCCTAGCTGAGTGTGAAGCTTTACTTCAAGCAAAGTGATGTTTGTGGAATGTAGATTTACAAAATATTATTGTGCAGCGGATAGTTCATAAAACACCCGCCGTCATAAATCTGAATGGTGGGGCTTTGGCTGAGAAATTAATAAGTGCTTAACGCACCGTCATGGAAACAGCCTGCAACAAGGAGAGAAAACAAAAACGAGGCTTTGCCTACAGGGGGAGAAAAAAAAATATCGATTTTATTTTTGACCCGAAGTGTTCAGTGTCTCTGATATTAAATCATGTTCACTTAAGGACTTTTATTCCAATTATAGTCGCACTCTGTTGGAAGAGCCCCAGCGTGCAGCCGAAGCCCTGGATTTGTTGCAGTGGTGTTATTTATGGTGGCAGTGCTTCCAATTTGATGCTACCTGACTGGGAAGGGCTGTGTCCTAAAATATCTATTTACAGCCCTGATGAGCACAGAAGAGAATCAGAAATCTACGCAAACCAGCAGCTGCTCCCTTGGGTGCAGGAAAAGATACCTCCCCAAAGCCTTGGGGAGAGGATGGCGTGGGAGGAGGAAGGCTCTGGGTTCAGCCCTGGGATGGTTTTAGGAACACTATGGAAGTCGTGGTGCTTTTTTAGGGTAAAAGACCAAAAAGTGGTGTTTTTTTTTAAACAGGACAAACAAACAGAAGTCCATTTCAACAGGGGCAACAGTCATCCTGTAACTAATGAAAGTGGTGCGGAAGGAAGGCAGGAAACAGAGGATTAAGGGAAAGTATGTGTCGTAGGTGTCTTCTGCAGGGAAAAGATGTTTTTTGTATGTTTCCCACTGAAAAGCTGTTTGCCAGCGATGAGACCTGTCCTGGGAAGCGATGCAGTTCTCAGGGGTGAAGGAGTCCCAACACATTCTTTTGGCTGTCTCATTATTGCAGCACCCTATACACGGAGACAATGTTAACAGAGCCACCTCCATGGTGGGGACCAGTCTGCTCCATCCCTGCACCTGCAGAGACAGTGCACTGCCTCTGCCCATGCCCAAGGGAATCCAGGCAGTGCCTAAGCCTGGTGGATACCCTTCCCACCAGGTTTGCTTTGCTGTCAGTGGACAAAAAGCCTCTAAGAATCATAGAACAGAGTAATAGAAACATTAAGGTTGGAAGAGAACCCTGAGATCAAGTCCAACCATTAACCCATCCCCACCATGCCCACTAAAACATGTCCCTATCACATCATGTTCTAACTTGTCAGATGGAGGCAAAACAAGACATTTGCCCTCTCCCAAGAGTTTTGAGGATGAGATGCCCTAGCTCAAGGGCCAGACCTTTCAGGAACCTCGGAGAAAGAGAAGTCAGCGACGTGGAAAAACAACCCATAAAACTGCCCTTATGCTGCGAGCGGTTCGTGGGCTGAGTTGAATTTATGATTGCTGCTGCTCATGGGGCTAGAACAAGCAGGAGAGCCAGTGATGGAGGCTCTGCTGCTTTAATGAATTTGTACTTTCCACTGCCACTTGCTCACTGATTTACAGTGAAGTGGGGAACCTCGAGATAAAAAAAAACCCAACACATCGAAAGGACGCCTCGTGTTTTGGTTTCTTTCTTCCCTCTCCCACTCTGGCTTGCCCTGTCAGGCCATTAATTCTAACAGAAAACACCGGCTCTGGTTTTTTCCCTCGAACCCCTCAGCTGTTGCAGGGAGACAGCTGCACCCTCTGGAACTAATTACAGCTGTCTGGGAGATTTAGCCCTCCCTCGCAACAACTCCAATATTGCTGCTAATTTTTAACACGTACAGTTGGAAGATGTCATAATAGGCTGATATATGATCGAATCTTAAAAGTGCTACAGCGCAGCTGCTACCGGGCATCTGCTGGGATGAATATATTGATTTAAAAAATAATGCAAAGTATTTTTAGCCTTTCTGCCCTTCCCAGGACTGAAGCCCTGCCTGGTGCGGGCAGTGATGGAGTGCACGTGCTCACCCAGGAGGCAGTGGCACAGGGGTATGTGTGGCTGCTTCACTTCTGCAGTGGAGCTGGCAATGGGATGCTCTTGTTCCTCATCTTGCATCCCACTGTTGTTGTCGTAGCAGAGTGGGTTTTCTGTCTCCTGGAGGAGGAGTGTCTGGTTTGCTTTATTCTGATTGTATCATGCCTCTCATGGGATGATTTTGCTCTGGTGTCTCCTATTGGACCTCACCTGGGCTCGGCTGGATGCCTCCTTCGTGTGGCTGCAGTCACTGCTTCCCAGCAGGTCAGAGAGAGCTCCAGTTGTGTTCACTTGGTAAATCCTGGGAAAGTGCTTGCAGCAAGGAATGGCCTCTCTGACCTTCCTGACTGCCTCTGAAACACGAGCACTGCTCATCCCTCTGGTATGAGCAGAGGGCATCAGTCTCCTTTTAAGAAAGATGAAATCAAGCAGCTTCCTCATAAACTTCTTGAAGTTGTTTCCCTTGAGCAGCAAGGCTCTGCATGCTGGCACTGTCCTGCACTCAGAGGAGCCCCGGGGACCTTTGGATTCCTTCCACTACCCCAAAAGTCTTTGCATGAGCCCTGAAGTTGCAAAAAAAAACAACAAAACATTTTTTGTAAGGCAGGCTGCAGCCCACAGCAGTTCCTCATTCTGTGTGCATGGGGCTTGTATGTGTTGCAGCTGTGCAGGTCACCAGGTGATGTTTGCAAACTGTGAGCCCTGGCTTGGTGGGTCCGTGGTGTTCTTGCTCCCTGCATTAGGGAGGAGGGAGCATAGAGACTGCAAACTGAGACTTTGGAAATGAGGCACCCAGGTAGCTTATAAATAGTGGGGTAGCTTGTAAACTCTATGAGCCCTGAAACGAGGGGCTCCAGTGAGTATTAAATGCTGCAGTTTTTACATCAGTTGAGCCTCAGGAGGCAAGACTGATGATGGTTACAAGCTTTCTGTGTTTCTCCCGTAGCCCCAGGAAGGCACAGGGAAGACAGGCAGTGGATGCTCTGCCTTGATGTCCTGGTGTTTTGTGCTCAGAGTTATTTCTACTGCAGTTTCTCAGCTTTCACAGGCTGTGAGCAGCTCAGGATTTGCTGTGCATCCTGACGCAGGTGGGATATGGTGGGACAAAGGGGCTGTTTGGTTTGGGGGCTCACGGGGACCTCTCAGGTTTGTTTGGACTCTGAACATAAGGGCTGGAAACATGTTCAGATAGAAAGGCAAACTTTCTGCCACAAAAATGCAGCTTCAGTTGTGTGTGGTTGCTTTAATGCTCACACGGTTCTAGTTTTACATGCCGATCCCTTTGATAGCAAACATTTTAATAGACAGAAAACATATGGGAAAAATCATACCAAATCAGATGATAGATATTGCTTAATTTGGGCAGGCAAGCCTATTCAGGAGGGGCAAGGAGATTTTCATTCCAGAAGGGTCCTGGGTGGACCTTTGTGTAGGGCAAGGTACTTTAGGGTCCAAGCAGTACTGGGGTGTCTGAGCTGTGTCCAGGGCACTCAGACAAAGCCCCCAGTCTTCTACACTCTGCATCCCCAGCAAGAAAAAGGGAACACAGTTGCTTCTATTTGGTGCTATTTGCCAGGTTTCTGAGAGGAGCTGTCTGAGTGGTTTGCTTCCTGGGATGATGATAGCTCAGGATTAGAGCAGCTGCTTTTGCCCCTCTCTAGGCAGCCAGTGATGGTAGAATGAAAGTTTGGGGATGGTAGATGTGTTTTATGAATTCAAGCAAGCAACCAAACATCACAGCTGTTAAACCTCCTATCTGTCTCAGACAGGAGCCTGCAGGCTAACTGAACCTGCATAAACCTTCCTGCTCTAATTATTAACAGGAAATTTTGTGCTCTTGAGAAGCAAACACTGTGGGAGTAACACTTCAGCCTCCATCTGACTTTTAGCAGCCTCAGAAAAAAGGTGTAAAAACAGCCATAGCAGTAACGGAGTGGGCAGCCTGCAGGATCTCAGGGGTGCCATGGGGCACACCTTCACCACCATCATCCCTCGTCACCCAGCCCCTATCAGTTGTTAGGTGAGGGCTGTCTCTGTGCAGCTCCAAATGCACTGCTCTGGGCTACTTTGGGTGACTCCTTTTTGCCTGCAGGAGAATGAAACTTGGAGGTGTTTGCTCTGCTTTTGGCACAGCCAGGGGACGATCCATCAGCAGCAAGTGGTGAACAGCTGCATGCTAATGTGTTTTGTTAGCAGAATCATTTCTGTATTGCTCATCTGGGTGCCAATCAAGGCTTAAATTGAGATGTCAAGATGTGATTACAGCAGACCTTTTAATTGGTCTGTAGTTTTATCAGCAGTCTGCAATCTCTCCTGCTTCCCACGTGAGTGTGTTACACAGGTGAGCGCTAATGGCCAATGTACAGGAGTCGTCCCTAATTATTTTAGCAGTAGGAGCTGACTTTATGGCGTCCCGAGGTGCAGCCCAGGAGCGAGCAGCTGCGTGAGTGCAGTGCCCTGCTCAGTAGCAGGGTTTGTATTTTAGTAGTGAAGCAAAGCAGGTTTAAATGAGCACTGACATGACTTTGACATTTTTATATTGTGGGTTATTTTATGAACTTATCCAGTGAATGCGGCGATGCACTCTGCATACAGGGACCCCGATGCTGAAGGACTGGGGTGTTACTCCTTCCCTTGTCAGCATGCCCTACATCAAGCGGGACACAGCTCCTGCACCAAGCGGCATGGTTAGCCTCCAAACGTGTTTGGCGAGGCTGATGAATGCTTCTTTCTGCACTGCTTTAAAATCTCCTTTTCTGTCAACTCCCAGGGCGGCCAGAAAACAGATGCGCTCAGAGCCCTGCTAATAAGCAGTGGAGCAGAGGGAGCAGCCGTTCGCTGGGGCAGAGGGACATGGGGGAGTGTGTGTACCCACAGGTGTCCCAGCAGAAATACTTGATAGGTGCTTTCGGGAAAGAAAAAGAAATGGTATTGGTGTTTTATTATTATTATTATTATTCTTTCAGCTTGGTCATAGGGGTGTGGAGCATAATGTGATGCTGGATTATGCACACGGTGATGGTGTGCGAAGGCTTTCCTTTCCCGTGCATCCTCCCCAAATAGCATTCCAGGGAGCCAGCGGTGTCCAGCACTGGCAACCCTGATGGTGATGGCAGAGAAGCTACATAAATGCAGATCCAGTCCGTCACCCACAGCACTGGTGCCCAGCCCCTCCTACCACCCTCTGCTTTGTTTCCCTGCAGGTGGATCCGAGGGGAACATTTCAAGTACAAATTCAGCCAGCCTGGAGGAGCGCATGCTGCAAAGGGCAAGTGGTGGATTCGGAAGAGGATCGGCCCCTACTTCCCTCCTGTCAACCTCCAGGGCCTGAGGAAGTTTTATGAAGACAGAAATTGGCCGTACCCAGTGCGGGACTGATGGAGGGAAGTGAGACAGGTCCAGAGTGACCAGCTGGAAGAGCCGTCAGCTCCCTTATAAATCACACTTCTTCCCTATCTCTGTATTTTTTTTACATATCCTTGTTTACACATATTTTACAGGAGGTTTCCAGACAACCTGTCCACCTGCTGCTGTGGTCTGGTTTTTCTCATCTTTCTTTTCCTTTCTGTTTGTCTTTCTCCTCGTGGCCTTGCCTGATGATTGATTTCTTTTGTCAGGCTGCTCCATTAGAAAATCATCAGCTCTAGAGTCAGGAAAAAGATGAACAAATACTAAGTCAAGTTAATATGTCCAATTTGACACATTTCAGATTTGCAACAAGCATTTGTGAAGTGGATTTTAATACTTCTGCTGATGCTGGAATTTCACTTTATTGCCAGACAGACCCAAAATGGACAAAAATTATCAAATGTATGTTAGGGGGAAAGGTTAGGTAAAAGTAAACCCTCCCTCCCCTTTCTCAGTGCTGTCTACTTTACAAAAAGCTCTCAGGGCCACGCTCAAGACTCATACAGATGTAAATCTGTGCATTTTAAGACACTTCTTGCACTGATGGGGATTTCAGTGTGAATGTAGACAGTGAAGCAGCCAGAGGAGCAGTTCCCTTTGCAATGCACCTCGCTTAGAGGAGGCACTGGGCTGGCACAGGGCACTTCACCATGGCATCCCACCTCATCCTACCCTGTCCCATCCTCATCCATGCTCATGCCCATCCCATCTCAAAATATCCCATTCCTTTTCCAACCCATTTCAAACCATCCAGTCGCAGTTTCCACATGTGCACAGAGCTCACACCAGCCTCAGGCAATTCACTGAGCCATTAAAGCTGCTTTCTTCCAGATATTCCTGTCCTTGGGAAGGTCCTGCTCAGCACTCCCTGATCACAAGGCAGCAGTCCGCATCTGGGTTGTGCAGCACAGAGGGAACTGTCCCTGGGCTGGGGGAATCCTGTGTGGGACAGATGGGGCGATCCTGCATTCCCCATTCTTTGCTCCTGAGCGTGCCCTGCTCGTGGTTTGTGTTTCATGTCACCCCCAATGGTCTGACCGTGTGGGTGCAACTCGGTGAGCCCACACCAGGGAAATGGGGGGGAAGATGGGAACAAGCAGAGCGCGGACAGCTGGAAGCGACGGGTTGTGGCAATAATTGCTTTCTTGTTAGCACATTTTGCTGCAGACACTTCTTCCCAAAGGGAAAAAAAAAAGTTCAAAGTGACGTGCGCAACGCATAAAACCTCTAGCCTCGGGATTGCCTGCAGAAAAACCACAGGTCTGCTGAGAAACCCAAAATAGCTCCGTGCTGTGTGGGCTCCGTGAGTCAGCGGCTCTGGCCCGGGACAAGCACAGCCCTGTGCAGCCCGCAGCGCCCGGCCGGGCCCAGGCTGGCTGTGAGACAGGGCCTGCTTTTAGGAGGCGGCTGGAGTCGCTGAGTCTGCCGCCAGCTCCGCCGCGCTCAAACGGGTTTTGTTTGAGTAGGTCCCGGCCTGGCAGCGCGGCCGCGCTGGGCTGCTTTTCCTGTTTGCTTAGCCCGGGGCTTCATAACGGGCCCTTTCTCTCGTTCTGGGTGCTGACGGAGCTCGGGGCCCGGCTGTGTTGTGCTCGGGGAGCAGCCTGTGGCCTGCATGGCCTGTGTGCCTGGAGCTGCACAGCCTGTGCCTATGGGTCAGGGTTGTGGCAGGACACAAAGAGGCTTTCAGCCACCCGGCTCGGGTCAGCACAAACCATGGGCAAAGGGATGAGCGTGGCTCTGAAATAGGTCGGTGCTCATATGGCCAACATGAAGGCCATGGGGGGACTGATGGCGGCTCTGTCCCTGAGCTCATTTGATCCAGACCAGTCTGTCCCCCCCCCGACACAAGAAGCTCAGCATTGTGGCCAAATGCAGTTTGGAAGGAAAAACATCAGAAAAGAAACCTGCAGGCAAGCCTGACCCACATGCCAGGACAAGGCAGAGGGGTGGCTGCACAGGTTGTGGCTGCAGGCTCACTGCATCACGCATTTCTGTCCGCTTTTGGACCACGTGTACTGAACAGGCACTACCCAGCACATAGATCTGAAAAAAGGGAACCTCACTCATCTTTACTTCTTATCTAACAGTGTTAAAAATTGAAGCAGCATCTTGTGGTGTGTGCCCAGACATGCCTCGCTGAGCCCCAGTACCAACAGTGACTGAAATGGTGAGGCTGTGAGGACAGCTCATGCAGCGGGGACACCACGTGCTCCCACCTCCCCGTGTCACCAAGGGGAGCACAACACTGCAGCAGGTCCCACCCCACCCAGCAGTCCCTTGCAGCTGGCACTGGTCGGGGTTATGACTGTGGAGGTGCACAGCCCATTGCTCAGTGCTTGGAGCCATGTATAGCACTTTCCGAACAGCAAATAATGTTCAGTTGCGTTTTCCTAAATATTTGCCCCAGTTATTCCTCTGCAAACAATAGGGAGAACATTTTGTATGGATTACTGCGCAGAAAGACAGGTGAGTGCTGATACACTGTGTGTCACTCTCAGCATCACCCCCCCGCCACAGCAACGGGGCTGAGGGCAGTGATGTGCACTGCATTTGTTTGTGAGGTCAGGGTGATGGAGGATGTTTCGCATCCATCAGTGCTTGCTGTAGCTAATGGCCCTCCAGAAGGCACTGAGCTTTTTGCCTGGGAGCTGCCAACACAGCAGAGCTTCCTGTGGAGCATCCCTGTGTCCTGTGCAAGCACAGGAGCTGCCTGCACTACCTCCCTGCCAGGTGTTACTTGAAGCATTTCACCTTTTGTTTTCCTAGCTCTCACATGGCTTAAATTCAGCACTGGGGCTGAACACTCAGGGATCGGCTGGAGCCCATCCTATCTTAGGGGCCTCAGGCAGCCAATGGCCACTGTGTTCATGGCAGCATTTTGGGGAGGTGGGGACACCTGGAGCCCACAGTGGCTGCACTGGCATCAAGCCTGATCTATGCCTATCTCCGGCCATTGGAGATCCCTTGACATGGCTGCAGCCATCGGTGCTCCCTCCTCATTCAATCCACCCAAAGCTTCCTTTTTTTTTCTAAAAGCCCCGTACTGCCCCAGCCCTGCTGGCTGCTTCCCCTCCACGCTGGCCCTAATGCAAACAAGCTGCATGAGCAGGGTCGGTCCGTCCCGGTGAGTGACGATGCGAGGGCGCAGGGACGCAGCAGCTCCGCACTGCAGCCACTCGCTGGCAGCACGCGGGGTGCCCCCCGCCCCGCTTTAATTAATTTCTTTTGGTTTCCAACCTCTGGGTCAGGGATAATGGAACCCAGACCGTCATTTACATTCCTGTTTGCTGTGCATTGTGCTGTTTAAAGGGGTTTTTTCTTTTTCTTTTTTTTTTTTTTTAATCTAAAATTCTCGCTCCACGCCGCAGCACTGGCTGGAAGATAATATACATTCAAAGGCAGCGAGGAAGGTGCAGGCAGGGGATTAAATTAGAAACGTTTCCCTTGGACAAAACTTTTTAAAAGAAAAGAAACAATTATTTTGAGGGGGTTAGGAAATCGGAACCACATTGTGTTATCTGTTGACTGGAAGTTTTCTTGGAGAGGTTTTTTTCTTTCCTTGAGCTATGTGCTGGACACAAAGCTTTGTGGCATTCCCACATCAGCACACCGTAAATCCATTTTGAGAGAGAATTCTGAGCCCGCTGCTGCCAGGTCCTTTGGGTGCTGCTGGGGATGGGCAGGAGACTACAACCTCATGGCCTCAGGATTAGGATCTGGACAATAATACATGGCAGCTCCTGGCTGCCCCCACAGCTCTGTTGGCTTTGCTGTGCTCTTCTGGCCCATTCCCTGATCTGGAGTTACATCTAATCCCATTCCTCCCTCCTGTTCCTTCTTGAGTCGCTGGTGCAGCTGCTGCATGCCTGTCCCAGCCTGGCATTCTGGGGCTCCAGTGGATAAATCATTCCCTGTGTAATTTGGGAAAACCCAGCAGTGGGGCTTTCAGCATGAGCTGAAGGTGTCCAAAGGAGGGGGACGTGGGAGGATGGATCAGGCTGTTTGGGGTCCCCAAAGGAAGGGAGCTCTTTGGTTGTGTTATAGCCATATGAAGCTTTGGCTCAGGCTGTGTTGAATATAAAGCTGCAAGAGCTCTCACATCATTACAGATCCCCTCCTGTCTCCAGGCCCTCCAGGAGAGCTGTCTTCTGGAGGTGAGATGGAAACCTGTGCCATGCGTTAACACGCAGCACTTGCCCTCCCGCAGGAATTTCAGACAGCTGGAAAATCTTTAATGATGGATTTATAGTTTGAAGTTCTGTCTCCAAATATAAGAAAGGTTGCTTTGGAGGACAGCTGAGCTCTCTGCCCGGATTAGCAGCACAAGGTAATGCTGAGCACCAACTCTTTGTGCAGGGGCAGCCCTGTGCTACCTGCACTGACAGCTCCGTGCTCCAAGCAGAGCTCATGTTCCTCCATCATGTATAACTTGTGGTTATTTGTTTTAAAGCAGCCAAGCTACACTGCAGTCTATGAGATCCTACAGAAAATCAGTCTATCGGCACACCTCCCCTGCTCCAATCTGCCTTTAGAAGCTGGCTTTGCTTTAACACATATTAAAGGAAAGAGCTTTTTTCCTTCCCAGTAGATTAAGTTTGGCTAAACAATTCAGTGTGAACTGCTGGGCATGAGGCAGAACCTGTAGGCTAAATTACCCAGCTGCTATAAGTTTAGAGCAGCATGGGATGAATTTCAGGATCGTATATTAGTTTTCATTTAATCTGATTATTCTGGGTCTGGAGTTCCTGGAGGGTCTTCAGGTTATTGTCAGTCAAAAGAATCTTTAAAAGCTTCCATTTGCGCTAAACTTTTCCCATTAGAAATCTATTTTCATTATGGATCAATTTTTATTTTAATGAAAAAATTATTTCTCCACCTCCCCACCCCCTGACTTTTCCAGACAAGATTAAAAATGAAGCAGGGAGGGTTTCTTTGTGCCTTCTGTCAGTCAGGGGCTGGGAGGGTTGTGGGGACTTGCCACTCAAAATGCCACAATTTTAGGGAAAAGGCAACTTTCTGGCTTCTAGAAATAACCCCCAAACCCACATTGTTTGTGCAGGATTTCGTATGGGTTGTGCCAACCTGAACCCTCTGGACTCCCTGTACCCTCATGCAGCTCTGCTTGGCAATCCCATCATGGAGACATGTGGGGACCGTGAGGGGACACCCAGCTGTCTCCATGTCCCATTGCCTCACATGTGACTGCCAAAAACGCTCTGCAGGGTCAGGTTTTTGCAGGAGGGCAATGGGGAGGAGGGAGCTGGCTGCAGAGCCGCATGTTCTCCTCAGCACTGGGGTTTCTGCCATCCTGGTGCCCTGTCCTTCCAGGGGCACCTGGCACGGGGCAGCCCTGGACATGTGGCATCAGTGCTGCCGGAGCCAGGCTGTGTTCCAGCAGTGCCTCAGTTTCCCTTTATAGCTGATGGCAGACCCTGTGCTCTCCACAGCAATACTGCAGACAGGCATCTGGTTTTGTAGGGGGGGTTTTGGGGCTGTTCTCTTAGCAGCAAAGCACTCAACCAACGACCTGCAACTCCCCCATCCTCTGCAGCCTCCGGTTTCCTCCCTGCAGAGCAGCCGTCGGGACGTGCGCTCATGCCCACAGTGGATGTGCAGCAGCTGTGGGATGCAGTGCTGCCCCACACACCGCTCCCCCCATTTCCTCTGCAGTAGCTGCTCGGGATAAGCTTGCATGTCGCTGAGCTTTTCCACGTGTGTTAACTATTGCTGAGACAATTACGTTAAAATCACACCACCTGCAAGCGGTTAGTTAGAATAATAAATAAGTGATAGATTATCAAATAAAGCGTTCGCTTCGGATGAGGTCATCCCAGCACCATGTCGTGAGTCTCGGCGGGTTTGCAGCCTGCTTTCCTGCCGCCAATCGACCAAATCGCTCTTGTATCAGTCAATAAAAGCGTTGTAGAGATTAAAGAATCAATTAGGCATTAGCCGAAGGGGCAAAAGCATAACCCAAACATGCTGATAAAATCCAGTAGGTGATTATGGGAATGGTTCCTATTTCATTTTACTTTAGAAGGAAATAATTGCTCGTTACCGAACACGGAGCAGCCAGGCCGGGTGCTTTTCCAGCTTTATGGGGAAGCAGGAGGAAGCCCTGGTGCTGGGCTGACAGACGCAGAGGCACGCCACGCTTTAGGGCTGAATGTGCATGTTTTGCCTCTTGCTTTGAGGAGAGCCATTTTAGCCCTGAAAGGGGACAATGGGGCTGAGTCTGTCATTTGGTGCAGTCTGGGGAGCTCAGTGCCACAGCCATGCATTGCCCACTCGAGGCAGAGGGCCCAGGCACATATTTGCAGATGGATTTCAGGAGCACAAGCATGAGGGCTGCTGCCAGCAGCTGCACCCTGCAGTGCACAGGAGCAAATAGATCTGTATGCACCGTGTCTGGCCGATATCTGCTCTTTGTACATGCACAAACTTTGATTAACCAAGCAAAATCCAGTCAGCTGAAAAAGCATTTAGGGATGTATATGCTTAACTCCTTCCCAATATTCCCGGTGACAAAACATCTGGGCAGGCGGCTCGCAGTGGGAATTGGGTCGGCTTGTGGTGGCCATTCTGAAGTCATGGGAAGGGGCTGTGTGGGAATGTGAGGTCTCCACGCTGCAGCTTTTGACCCAGTTTTGCTGCCAAAAGGGGATGTTCAGGTTGGATAAGAGGAACAATTTCTTCTTTGAAAGAGCAGTCATGCACTGGCACTGCTGCCCAGGGAGGTGGTGGGGTTACCATCCCTGGAGGTGCTCAAGGACCATGGAGATGTGGCATTTGAGGGCATGTTCAGTGGGCATGGTGGGATAGGTTGGGGTTGGGCTTGAGGATTCCAGAGGTCTTTTCCGACCTGAATGGTTCTTTGATTCTATGAAAGATGCTAACAATTATTATAGTGCTGAAATACTGAAGGAGGTAGATAGGCTTTGGAAACAAAAGGCAAATCAGTAAGCGTGCTCATCTTTTGGAATAAAGTCACTGTAAAAGATTGAGATGGTTCTGCAAAGCACTAAATTCTGAGGTAGCACAGTGAGTATGAATGACTTCAGTCTGAGATGATTTTGCAAGGTGCAGCCCATCACGCCCTTGGCTCTGTTGCAGCCACCCAGTGCTGCCTGGGTGCAGGTTTTCTGCCCTGGATGCACAGTGCAGGAACTCCTGGCTTGGATGGGAGGGCTGAATGCTGCCAGGCTGCAGGTGGGGGCAGCTCAGTGTCTCCCTTCCCATGGGAAACTGGGAGTTGCTCCCAGTTTAGCTTAGTAATTGGGCAAGTTCTGAGGTTTACTGTTCAAGCAGGTTTTTCTCCAAAAAAGTATCTTGTTGGGAAGGCATTTTCTGCAGCATTTCCAACACAGACCTGCTTATAGACAATGCAAGTTTTCTTCTTGACTTGGAACCAGAGGCTGAGAACCAGCACCAAAAAAATCCAGAACTGAAGCCAGGAGGATGAGAAGCTGTCCCTTTCTGTAAGTAGCATCTCCCCATCTCCATGAAGCCCTTTGGGCACAACCGTGCCGCGTATGCAGCCTTCACCACACAGACCCACTCCTGGAGACCCCCCAGCATCCCTCCCTGCCCGTTCCCCTGCTCTCATTCATCGCGTGTTCTGTCCCTTTGTGGCATGGCGTGGCAGCCCCAGCGTGCAGCTGTGCTCTCGGCGCGGAGCGGCCATCTGCAGCGCCCGCCCTGGAAAGCAGCCCCGCAGCTGCGCTCGCCTGGTACCGGCGGTACCCGGACGAGGTCATTCATCACCGGGTGAGGAAGCTTGGCAGGGAAGAGGAGGACGGCAACCACAGGAGGCAAATTTTAAAGCGCTATGTGGACTGTGGTTATTGTATCTGCCGCCTGAGCTTGTTTCCCTTTACTGCTATAGATGGGTGACAAAGCTCCCCACTGGGGCAGGAAGCGTTCTTGTGTGTTGGTGGGATAGAGCAGCCCCATCGAGGACTCCATTGAGGCCGGGGTGCAGCACTGCCCCAGGCAGTGGGATGTGTGTCCCTTCCCCATGCAGAGTGAGAAGTGTGGAAATGGAGAATGAAGGGCCAGTCCCAGAGGCTGCACTGGGATGGGGTCAAGATGGGGTAGGATGCCACAGTGCAGGCAGTGTGTCCCTTTCTCAGCGCCTTGCCCCACCTCTGCTATAGCAAACTCCAGGAGAGAGCAAAACGCGCATGCTGAGCCCTGCAGGCACAGTGCCCTGGCCCACCTGGCTCTGGGCTGGAAGTGCTGCAAGGCACTGAGCCCTGTGACCCTCTGATCCCCACCGTGGGCATCCAGTAGCTGCACAGGAGAGAGGGCACGGCAGTGAGCACAGTGCTGCACTGGAGCTCATGTCCCCAACCCGCTCATCCTCCCTGCTCTGTGTGCCTGAGGGAGCCAGCAGCCACCCACTGCAATGTCACTGCAAGCACTGGTGTCGCTTCTGCAGTTTTGGACCCCAGCTCATTAGAGAAGCGTGAGCACTGGGAGCTGCACGAGAGGTGTGAGCCCAAAACAGAGCCCGCCGTGCTGCAGTGGACACAGGGTGGCACCACTGGACCCTGCGGTGGATGTCGGATGGGACGGGACACACGGTCCCTCTCCAGCAGGAGGAGGTGAGTGCACGGGGACAGGGCGCAGAGAGCAGCCAAGCCCTGCTCCGACACAGTGGGCTGTCTCCGTGGGATGCCCTGCCTTTCCTGTTTACTTGTTATTTTGGAAATAGAACAATAAATAATTTATCGCCAATCAGTTGGCACACATCCGACGTGTCAGTTCAGTTGATTTTAACTGGCCAAGTGTCAGGGCAAAAGGCCAGGAACGCAGTGCTAGGGAACAGTCAACAGCACAATTATAAGATTAACACCTTGTTTGGTGGTCAGATACTGTCGAGTGGTAAAAGATTGCTCCGGTTCATCTCTATAGAGCATCGCTCACAAATTACCTTATTAAGCACGCGGTCGGCTCCCTGCACCTGTGTCCTCAGATATTCCCATTCATGGTGGAGAGGAGGCCAGCACTGCCGGGGCCGCTGGGGGCTGTGCAGCTGCGGCTGCATTATTCGCTCTTTGCATATTTGCATATCAATGAGCCCCTGATTAATATTTAAAGAGCCAGCTGTCCGAGCCACCTAGGAAAGAAAAAAAGCTCTGTTCGCTTTTTATTTATTTATTTATTTAGGGATAACACTCACGGCCGTTTATCAAGTATGCTTCATTTTTAACCCCACTATTCTTTTATTTTAAAAAATAAATAAATAAGGGAAGGGTGAGGGGAGAGGGGGGAGGGAAATATGAAACACCATTAAGGAGTGATCAGCAAAAGAGTTGTGCCGCTCTCAATGCGCCTCAGTCCCTTTGTGCCACAGGCGCAGCTGCACGGCACAGGTTTGCGGGCACCCATGGGAACCACGGCTGGGGGCAGCCCCACAGCAGGGACTCAGCAGGGCGGGGGCTGCATCGCTGCTGTGGATGCATTTTCTTACCCAAATTCCCCTCGTTGCTGTGGTAAAGCCATCGCTGGTGTCATTGTGCCCTGGCACTGCTCACCTGCGGGCAGCCGGATTGCTGCCAGCTCTGCTTTGGGTGGGTTCAGGATGAGGAGCTGTGATGGGATGAGTGGAAATGGTTTCAAAGTAAAAGAGGGGAGATTAAGATTGTGTATAAGGAAAAAGTTTTTTATGCTAAGGGCGGTGAGGAGTGGCACAGGGTGCCCAGAGAGGTGGCAGTGCCCCATCTCTGCTCACACCCACAGTCAGACTGGACGGGGCTCTGAGCACTGATGGAGCTGTGGGTGTCCCTGCTCAGTGCAGGGAGTGGGACCAGCCTTTAGAGATCCCTTCCAACTCACACCGTTCTTTGATTCAGTGATTCTATGACTCTGTGTCCCAGCTGTGCACACCTATGGGCACCGGGCTCTGGGCACATCAATGGGCACCACTTGGCCCCCACTAAGGAGTGGGACACAAAGGAATGGCTCGAGCAGGCTAATCAATTGAAGTGCCAGCAAAAAAACGAGGCTTGGTATTTCCTGTGCCTCCTCAGCACTGTTAATCGTCAGGGCTTTTTGTTTCCAGGCTTAAAAAGCTGTCATTTTAATAGGCTATTCTCTCGGCATTTTTTTCCTCGCGCATTTGTCAATAATCCTCAAACAGCGGAAGCTTTGTTATCCCAACTAATTGGAGTCAAGTAGGGCTCCGTTAAAAGATTTTTCACAACTGAGCCCTGGGAAAAATGCAAAAGGATTTTAATTTTCAATAAAATATGCAGATAAGTAGAAATTAGCGGTGGGGAAGGGGTCTGGAAGCCACTTGAATAACAGTGCTGCTCAGACAGTCACAGCTCGAGGGATTAACGAGGATGTCAGCGGGCTGCTTGCATTGCTATGGGGCTGGAGGGGCCGGGGGGGGTCAGCACTGGACCCTGCCGTGATGGCAGCACCCCCAGGCCTGCCTGCCCATCTGAGGGAAATGGATGGCTCAGGGGCTGTTTATTTTTTAAGCGGTATTTTCACAGGGCCATCAATCTGGCAGGTTGCATTGAGCTGTGTCAAGGGCAGACATATTTCAGGTTGTGCTTCGTCTTTTTCATATATAAATAAGGGAAATTGGTGTCTCTCTTGGAGTGGCATCACTGTAAGCTCCCATTAAGCCATGCATAGGTACACGATTTGGCCCCACACTTTCCTATTTCAGCAGCCACCGCTGAAGTGTAGGCTGGGATGCACTGGGCAAAGCCATGGGCTCCTGGAAGCATCCTGGGTGCCAAATGCTCATTTCTGCTGCTGCAACCTCCAGATAGGAAATGGGCAATTGGAAGCAGAGCAAACAGTCCATCTGGCTGCACCAGCCATGCTGCATGGCTGCATTTGCTCCAACAGTCTCTTGTGTTCCTGCTGGTGGGTGCACTGGGAGCTTGCAGCAATGACCTGCAGCACAGCACTTCCCAGCTGAAGGGGCTGAGCAGAGCTGTGGGTTTGCTCTGGCTGTTTGTCCTTGCATTAGAGCCATGGGAATTCACACGAAGCTGGCCATAGAAGTGCTGTCCCAGCTGTCCCCTGCCCTTTCCCCAGCTGCACAGGAGCATGCTGCTCACCACCTCTGCTCTGTAAGCACAACACAGGAGCTCCCTCCTGCTTTTCCAGCAGCTCTTTCCAGCACTTTTTAGGACCATTGCTCTGCACAGGGCAGAAGGCAGCCCTCAGTTGGGCTCAGAAGGGTTCGCAGGGCAGGAAGGAGCCAATGGCCCCTCGGAGACGTGGGGAGCAGCCCCCCCTGGAGCCAGCAGCGTGCGCGGAGGCTCATGGCGAGCCCGAGGGAAGCACAGCTGAGCCGTCACCTGTTGGAGCTCAGACGGCCACAGCTGCGCCCGCCGCTTTGAACACTCTGGATTAGGCAGACGAGTGCCCCGCACACACTTGTGCTCTGCATGCCAATGCCTTCCTCCTCCTCCTCCTCCTCCTCCTGCAGCCTCCCTCCTCCCAGTGCACTGCTGGAGCTGCACGCATGGCACAGGGTCTCAAACTGACAGAGCAGTGGAGGCATCTGCAATGAAGATAAGCTGACAAAACACTCAGTGCTCGAGAAGCTTCCTTTTTGCTTTTGGCCCCAGCATGAGCAAAATGTGGAGTCTCCAGGAGGTGCCTCAGCTCAGCCATATGGTTCATCGCCACCTGAGCTGCAAAGTGCTGCTCAGAGGTCAGGGTGTGCCACCAGCCATTCTAAGAGGAGAGGGAT